AGGAAGGAAGGAAGGAAGGAAGGAAGGAAGGAAGGAAGTGATGTAATGGAAGGGGAGGTGGGATAGATGGATGGATGTAATGGAAGGGGAGACAGGATGGATGGATGGATGGAAAGAAGGAAGGAAGAAAGGAAGGAAGTGATGCAATAGAAGGGATGGATGGATGGGTGTAATGGAAGGAAGGGGAGACAGGATGGATGGATGGAAAGAAGAAAGGAAGAAAGGAAGTGATGTGATGGAAGGGGAGATGGGATAGATGGATGGATGTAATGGAAGGGGAGACAGGATGGATGGATGGATGGAAAGAAGGAAGAAAGGAAGGAAGTGATGTAATAGAAGGGATGGATGGATGGGTGTAATGGAAGGAAGGGGAGACAGGATGGATGGATGGAAAGAAGAAAGGAAGAAAGGAAGTGATGCGATGGAAGGAGAGGTGGGACGGGTGGATGGGTTGCGTTTATCAGTTTCTGAGACACGTCCACACTTGCTCCTTACACAGTCAAGGAAGGGCTTTAAGGCCACTTAAGCAAATCAGGCTCCATGAAAGACCCATCCCAAATCAGGTGATCTTTAAGCGCCAAACTCTTTGATGCATAAGACGGAATCTACTCATCCTGCCGGCTGGATGCGGTGGCCTCTCCACACAGGGTTTTGCACGCCCTCCGCGTTTCCAGGGCTTTAGTACTTTCCCGTACAGAAAACGCCCCCTCCCCCTTTCCCCACGCTCACTTCCGCTCCAACATCTGCTGCAGCATGTCCTCCGTCTCTGGAGGCTCCTCCGCCGCGTTGTGGTCATCGCACACGTTTCTCAATTCGCTGGAGGGATACGACTTCATGGACTGGCTACGTTTACGCTGCTCGGCCGCCCGGGTGAGGATGCTGGATTTCTGGAACGGGGAAAGCGGGAGACCATCTACCCAGCGTTCACTTCGGGGGAACCTCCAGGATTATTTCACTCAAGTCAGCCCTCAGAAGCAAAAACAAGATTCGCCTGTCTATTCTAAAACACGCTGCAGCCATTTTAATTCCCGGGGAGCCTCAAAAAAGATAAAAACTACCCTGTATTGACCGGCGCAACCATGTCCTTGCTCTGGAACAGCACGGGGGGGGGGGGGGGATTTATTCTTAGATTTTTCTAGAGAATTCTTTTTTTTCAATTTCTCCGTTGAGCCTGTAGATCTGATATCCCCTCAGAACACTTACCTTTCAAGCTTGGAATATCAATTCAAGCAATCCTGCTTTGCTTTGATGTTTTAATAGGCAACATTCATGCACAACTGACCAAATTCTTTAGAACTGGGACATCCCAAAAGCTGGTTAATTCCCCTTAGTTCAGGGGTGTCAAACTCAAGGCCCGCGGGTTGGATACGGCCCGCGGGGTGCTTAGATCTGGCCTGCGGTCAGCCCTGAAAACAGCAAAGGTGTCGGTGTTCCAACTGACCAACTCCAAACCAATAAACTCCGAGATAAACAGTTCCTCAAAGTTCCATTTTACTAGAGTTGTCATATTGGCACACCTGGGAAAACCCGAATCTGAAAATTCCGGGTTTTCCCTCCCCAAAAGAAATGCAAAGATCCATCCCCTGCTGCACCCACCAGTCCATCACGAGGCCCAATCAAATCTTCGTCCCAACTGGAGACATTCCTCCCAATCACTCCCCTCCAGGTGCAGGGCAACATGTCCTTGACTCTCTGAGAAAGAGTGTTATTGTGTCTAATATTCTACCCCATTATGAAATCCCCCCTCCCAATTTCCCAGGCACTGAACGTGGCAGCCTCGAAGCTTCCAAGGCTGACGAAAGGACCAGCCCATGGTGCCTCTGCCAGCGCCCCCCCCTATTTTCACTGGCAGAGGGCTGCAGGAGGCTGTCACAACCCAAACCGGGGAGGGGCCGCGTGCGGGGGTCCCCGGGCTCCGCTTTCGCTGGCAGAGGGCTAGCAAAGCAAACTAAAAGCAAAACAAAACAAAAGGAGAAACGTTTCCCCTTTTTCATTTTGAGCATCCAAGAAGGGTCAGGAAAGGAGAAAGAGAAAGAGGAGAAAAAGGAAAGATGGGAAGAGAGCAAGGAAGGAAAAAGTAGGAAAGATGGGAAGGAAGAAGGAAGGAGAAGGAAGAGGAAAGGAAAAAGGGAAGAGAAGGAAGGAAGATTATAATGAGAGGGAGGGAGGGAGGGTCTGAGGGAAGTCCTGCCTTAGCACCTGGCCAGCACAGGTGCCCCCCAACACCAGTGGCGCTGAGCTAGCCACGCCCACCCCGAGGTCAAACACACGGAGGTAGCCCTCAATGAAATAGAGTTCGACACCCCTGCCCTAGTTAAGTCTCCTAAGCTCACGAAATCAGTGCATACTAACACACACAATGCACAAAACTGAAAACCCTGGTGCATCCAAATCTGAGCCACGGAGTCGATCCTCAGTATTTGCCGCGGTTTCTTCCCCAGAGGAACAAGGAGGCCGCCAGTCAACAACTCACCTTGAATTTAATATTGTTGCTGATGAGCTGATCCCACTTCATGAATTCTTTCTCGTAGGCCCGGTTCTCCGTCACCACCGGGAAGGCATGATGGACCGTGGTGCGGAGAATGCTGACCAGGGACTGGATGCGGGTGTGCGGGTAGACGTACATCAGGTTGGGCTCCATGATGTCGCTCGCTCTGAGCCTTTGGGCGACAGAAAAGGTGGGACGAGATCAAAAGCGGGCTTTGGAAGCGAGCCAGACACAACTTTTGAGTCCAAGCTGGCCGAGGTTCCCAGCCTTAAGATCGGCCGACATTACTTGTCCAACTCCGCTCTGACTTCCCACTCCAGCAGGGGGACCCCACGCAAGGCCACGTAGATGTCGTAAATCCCTCTGTTGAAAAGGTCACCTGTCCACTTGGCCACCTGCAAACAGAAAGGGGGAACAGGCAAGAGTTGGTTCTTTCTTATTGTACCCTATGACTATACTCTACTTACTATATACCCTATGACTATAGAACCCTATGACTATCATTAAGTGCTGTACCTTACGATTCTTGACGAATGTATCTTTTCTTTTATGTACACTGAGAGCATTTGCACCAAGACAAATTCCTTGTGTGTCCAATTTACACTATGCCAATAAAGAATTCTGTTCTGTTCTATTCTATCCTATCGTATTCTATTATTCTCCTCTCCTTCTATTCTATTCTATTCTATTCTATTCTATTCTATTCTATTCTATTCTATTCTATTCTATTCTATCATCTCCTCTCCTATCCTATCCTATCCTATCCTATCCTATCCTATCCTATCCTCTCTTTCCTTCTATTCCCAATGGCCCTCTGGACTCTCTACCTTGCCAAATGCTCATCTGGACTGAAGAAGTGACTTGGATGAGTAACGAAACATCTCCATTTTAATCAACTTTGGTCCAGTTGCCCTGAGTTAACCTTTGAAGATATTTTTGCCCAGGATGATTGAACCTTCATTTTCAGGTTGCTTTTCATTATTATTTTTTTTGGGGGGGGGGGGGGGGGAGAGAGAAAACCCTGTAGTCTGTATGGCAAGAGTTGGTTCATTCAACGACCTTTTATGACTACCCAAGAACAGAATAAACAGAGCTGGAAGGGACCTTGGAGGTCTTCTAGTCCAACCCCCTGCTTAGACAGGAGACCCTACACCAGGGCTGTCAAACTTGATTTCATTGAGGGACACGTCAGGGTTGTGTTTGACCTTAGGGGGTGGGGGGTGGCCAGCATATTACTGTCAGAAAGGGGCACCCTGTCAGCTGGGACGGCCTCCTGCGACCCTCTGTAAAAGGGCTGCCCAACTCCCGGCCCGCAGGCCCCATGCATCATGCGCTGGCCATGCCCACGCCCAGTTTAGCGAAGGGGGATAAAAAAAAGTCCCGATGCATCACGTGACGCAGCCGTGACGACGCGAGTTTGGCACCCCTGCTCTTGAGTGAAAGCGGAGCTCGGAAGGGCTGCATGCAGTGCTTGGGGGCTCCGTCCAGATCGAAGCACCCCGCAGCCCGAATCTGGCACACAGGCCTTGAGTTTGACACCCCGCCCTACACGATTTCAGACCAATGACTGTCCAATTTCTTCTTAAAAATCTCCAGGGATGAAGCCCCCACAACTTCTGGTGGCAAGCAGTTCCACTGGTTAATTGTCCTCTCTGTCAGGAAGTTTCTCCTTAATTCCAGGTTGCTTCGCTCCTTGACGAGTTTCTACCC